AATCTATCTGGTTGCGAAAAATTCCCCCAAATTGTTTATATCATTATATAAGAAAAAACAATAAGACTGATTAGATTGAAAGCAAGATGAAAGTATGAACCAACTGTCAGATTTAACCTTAGGAACACAACCAAAATCAAGTGCACTCAAGTACATATTAAGCCGCGTCACGCCACTCTCTTCCTTTTTAGGCCATGCATCTAGAGAAAAACGGTGAAACACTTCAAAGATAGGGCCACATTTAATACTCATGTTCCCCACCATTATTTGGCAAAACCAAAGTGATGCATGCCCTCTAAAACACAGACAACCATTCCTGAAGGCTGACCATGACTACTAAAAGACTCACCCAACATCTAGAATATCCGACGAGTCTTGGGGGAAACTATTTCGTGTCATCCAAATTTCAAATAAGGAAGGCCTAATTCTCATTTCCAATTCGTTAAGCTCAAGGTATACATACCTTTTCAAAGGGTTTTCAGGTAAACAATATTTAATCTCCACTTTCATTACGATTGTCTTGAACCCTAACTGACTTGGGTGTTAAGCCTGTAGGTCCGCCACACCGGAGATTAAAGACACTAGTTTAAGATACATAACTATGATTCCATGAGCATCATGATTGCCACCTTCATATCGAGATGCTCCTCCATGGAATCACTTGTGAAGCTTCTCCCCGTCGTAGCTTCTGTAATCTCCTCCATTTATGGTTCCACCATGGAAGAGACATTATTATTAAAGTATCCATAATTAAGTTTTATTGTGAAATGGGATAACATTAAAACATTGAGACTGCTATATGGATACACTGATGACCATGTCTCATGGATCATGGATAAATACTTATCAAGTATTCACATAGATATGAATATTAGAAGTAATATTTATATTTGTTTGACCTGCTTTGAAAATACTACATAAAATGTTCTGCAAGTGTCATAAGTTATTCTCATGGTGATAATGATGTATACCACCATTCAATCTGAAACCACTATTGATCGTAGATATAGAGTTAAGTACTTTATTCCCAATCAAACATTGCATGTGACAGGATAATCATAAAGATGATTAATGGGTACTCCACAAATTATGCTGAGGGATATGAGTGACCTAGTTGGACTTTATCCATATTGCGTAACAAGATAAATGTGTAAGCACCCAATATTAAACTGGACAAGGATGACAAAGTCTACTTCTTATGTTCAATGTAGACATAATATCAAAAGGGTAATTCTACACATAAATATTATCACATATTTGTTAGATCACATAATAATTTTCGTGACTTGGGTAACAATGATGTATTATTAGATATCATGAACTGTTTATTATATTAAATTATGACTTTGAGATAATTTCCAACTTCACGAGAATCTACAAGGTCTCACACACATAAGGACTCATTTCTTGGAGAAAATAAATAAGTGAAGCTTTTTTTACTATGCGGTATTGCAATGCAGAAGCGTTAATTAGAGAAATATGATACACCGTAAGGTATAATATACTTAAGTGCAAAATGGAACACCATAAGGTATTGTGTACTTAAGTGAAATAAGGAACACTATATGGTACAATGTACTTATGTAAAACAAAAAAAAAACATAAGATACGATGCACTTAAGTGAAGTACAATACACTGTAAGGTACTATATGCTAAGTGAGCTCATTCAACTCACAACCCACATAAGTGATTCTATAAGTAGAACCTTTGTGCTAAAGTATTTGATGCATGATCAAATTCATTTTAAGAAACTCACCCACACTTTTTATTTGCCCCCTCTCTCTCAAAGTATTCATTTGTAGCAGATAACACTGAGATTGAAGAAACAGTATTCGTGTAGACTATTTAGAGCATTATTCTTCATCTTACACTCATGACCATTCTCTAGATTTTGCATCAACGATTAATTGTTGCAAAACATAAACACTCTATCACTGATCACGTCCTTTTACAAGGAATAACTTAAGGGAAATTTTTATTTTCCCATGGGTTTTACATCACGATTTCCCTAAAACACCCACCTCGTCTCTTCTGATTTTTGCTTTCTCCATCATTGCTTTTTGTTGTGATACTGATAGAGGAACCATTCTTTTTACACAAATAAGATCAAAAGAGTTAGAAAAATACTAATATGTAGAAAAAGTAAATGATTATAATAACTTTACGTGAAAAACTATCAACATTTGGTTGATCTTCTCTGTAGTTCATCAACTCTCTAACATTCATAACTTTAAATTGATCTAGAAATTTGACACCGTCTTTTTTCGCCTCACTAAGTTTTTCAAATTCATAACCCATGATTTACATGTGTTTGATAGTCTAAAAAAGTTGAAATCAATATCTCATGTCCTTATTAAAGATGACATCTAAATACTTAATGTTACCTCCAACTCGAAAACCTTTCCTTCTAGTTTTCATAGTTGGAACTATGCGGAGTAAGAAGCCTTATACCAACAAATACACTTACTAAAACCCAACCATCCTTATCAATAACTTTGGTTCTATAGAAAGAAAAGAATATGCCTATAATAGGCATAATTTCTAGATCTCCATAGAGAATATCGTAGCCTTTCATAAACGTCCAACTATTTAGATGTAACAAAGACGGAGCAACGTTGATAGCCTTAAAAACCTTACCCTTACTCCTCCTTGTGGATGCATCATGGAAGCTCCCTCACCTTCTATGGAAAGTTCCACAAGACGTCAACTTCATTTCCAGAATTTGATATGTATTAGCCATGAAGAAAGGATCACCATACCATGGCATGACTGTTATACTACGAGTTCATGATTACCACCTCTTTACAAAAGGCGACCATGCTTCCATTCAAAATCACCATTAGAGGTCTCAGTGATCTTGTGTAAGAAGATGCCAAAACAACATCATTATTCTTACCCCTTATCGTAGCTACTATTGTAACTCCCGAACATAATGTGACACTAACAATCTTGATATCTCTCCTTACTAAATCACTTCACCTTTATATGGCTTATGCTTGAGAGACTATAACCATCGGTTATTTTTTAAATCACTTCTCCCTCACATGCCTCGTGTTTGAGGGATTCTGAACTTTAATTATTATTTAAATCATTTATCCTTATAAACCTCATTCTTAAGGAACTACAAACTATCAATTATTGCTTTCTCATTTACATGCCTCGTGGTTGAGGAATTATGTACAAGTATATTCATAATGGCTCAAGCATGCCTTGAATTGACATGACCAGACCTATCTGTTCTAGAGCACGTTGAACCCTTAGAGAGTACGTGAACTAACATAGGCACGATGATTTTAACCTAGGATTGCATTGACTAGCTTGCCTATACATGACGGGAGGGTAATATCATTGAACTACATGTTTGACTCAACTACAGAAACATGGACATGTGTCAACCCTGTGTCACATAACAATTTATCTGGTATTATATAGCCAAATCCCATGAAAACAAACACGATAGTGGTTGGATGAAAAGGATATTGAAGGACAATAAATATGAACGCATGTCGTGTAATCAACTACAAGCATGGATTAAGCATGATATTGAAAGTTAATAAATGTAACAGAAGTCTGATCACCATAGTATGTTTGAGTGACTATACGGAGACATGTTAATGGTCAAAGTATTACTCATTCATATATTTATACAAATTGAGATTTTACTTATTCTACACATGCAAAATTACACTCATCTTTCATAAAATCTATTAAAATGACACAAAAACCTACTATAGTTTAAAAATATACACAAATTTGTTCTAAAGTCTATTAAAATAACACTTACATCTCTTCTAATTTTTTAATTAAAGTAAAAAACCGTAAGTATAAATGAAATTTATCCACGATTTTGTGCGTCGCTAAAACTTTCATTGGTAAATATATATGTTTAAGAGAGGTTACTGCACTTTCTAAAAACGACATTTCGGTAGTGATTATAATTTTTTTTAAATATTTTTCAATTATATACTCTCTCAGTTTCAAAATGATTGTTGTTTTAAAAAAATAAATTTTATTTCAAAATGAATAACATTTTCAATTTGAAATTTAAAATTTATTGATATTTTTTCAATTATGTCTTTTAATTATTAATTTATACACTATTTTTAATATATTTATAAAATTAATTTAATAAAAATATAATATTTTATATAATATTATTATATTTTTTAATCTATATACAAAAATCTTAATCAACATTAAAACAAAAAGAAAAGAAATTATATTGTTAGAAAAAATGCTAAAGAGTGTCCCTAAGATACTTATTAAGAGATTAAAAAAATAAGTTAAATATTCTTTAAAATATTAAAAAGATAAGTTTTTCTTTAAAAAGATATGTATTCAATGCCTTAAAATATTTTTAAAAAAAATATTGTACGTATTCAATGTAGTATTGAGTATAAAGTATATTCTTTATTTAAAATTTTTAACCGGTGCCTGCGGAGCATGACCCGTTTTGGGCTAAAAATAATTATGCGTTCACACTTTATTTCAATTTGAGTCGCATGTTATTGCGAAGGCACAAATAAAGTATAAACCATGGGACCCGCACAAATTATTAAAGGAGTACCTTCCTTCCAACCGGAAACCCTAAGAAAACAGAACCACTGATTTTATAATATAATTTCCATAACGTAGATCTGATTTCCATATCGTTTTCTACGACGTAACCATGCATCAAAGGCGTTTCATATTCAGATACTCAAATAATCACAACCAAAATATTGCATAATCAAAACTTAGAACAAAATTCATTGATTATTAACATCCCACTGCATCTACAAGACTACAACAAACTTCAAGAAATTACTCACATACTATCCTGCATATCCTTCTCATCCATACGAACAAAAAAATATATACAGAAGCCTAAAAAAAATACAACATCATATTACAAACTAGTATATATATTTATCATTAATTCATAGGTTAATAAAATTCAAGAGCCCTATACTATACTCAAGATTATTATCATTAAATAAAACACTTGAAATCAAATCATTCAACAGGAAGGAACGACGCCGTATCCATCATAACACTCATCCTCAGCGATTAGATTCACATTCATATTCAAATCAGAGCGTTTTGCGAACCTTCCTTTAATTCTAGGTCTAGTTTCTGCATACGCTTTCCTCGAAGCGTAACGAATCGTCTTCTCGAACCTTCTATTCTTTCTCTTCTCTCTGTACCTCATAACCTTAGCTTCTCTATCCGCCGCCGTGATTTGCACCGCCGCCGTGCTTCCGTAACCACAGTACGATATCTCCGACATCACGTTTCCGTCTGGTACGACTCCAACCTCCAGCGAAGGTGACGATACCTAAACACGAAAAAATCTCATCAGATTTTGAATCCAAGAGGTAAATTCTGCATTTCATAGTAATATTTTTGTTTTACAATTTCTTACGTTGTGATTGTAGTTGTAAGTAAAAGGTTTCGAAGTAGAGAAATCGTTGTTTATATCGGAGTAGTGTTCCGTGACGGTTTTGCTATGAGACTGCACCGGTACGACTCCGTCTGCTGTGCCGGGACTATGTTCCTCCGGCGAGTCAGTTTTAGCGTCGACGGAGACGAAATTGAGGTCGGTACCGTTGATTTCGGTGAATGAGTAGTGAGATGAGTTTAGATCGGGGCCTTTAGGGTTTGATGGAGTTTGGAGGAGCCAGGAAGCAGCTTCGGCTTCTTCGGTGCTGACGTCAGCATCTGGATCGGAATCGGAGAAGAATTGTTGCTGACTGTTGCTGTGGTGGAAGGTGTTGAGCGGGATACGTTCGTGGCGGCTAGCGAGGGGGTTCGCGGAGTGGATGTCGTGGTCGCAGGAGACGCAGAGAGCGGCGGCATCGGCCTTGCATGTGACGTGAGCGGGAGCTTGTTCACAGACTTCGCAGAGTGTGACGCGGTGGTGGCGGGATGCGAGTTTGTTGGCGGCGTGGATGTTGGAGTCACAGGTGATGCAGAGGAAAGCTGAGTCAGAACGGCAGAATAGTGTTGCTTTTGTTGACTTGCAGGAATCGCATAGCTTAGTAGCCATCTGTTGTTTATTGAGTTAGTTAGAAATTTGAGAAATGTTTTGAGTGTATTGGTGAAGTATTTTGGTTGGATTGGAAGTGTGGGTGAGGATGAGAGGTATGTGTGGTTGTGGTAATAGAGGTAAGGTATCACTATCTAGTGGGGTAGGGGTGATCTACAGAGTGGCTAATTGAGGGATGACGCGTGGGTGAGCCTTAGCCAAAGACATTTCACTGTAAAATGAGGGATAGGGATGAAAGGACAGACATGAGTATTACACAATACAGCACACAACACACATCATTGTGATTGATAATTACAAGCAAATTATTTCTTCTTTTCATCTCTATCTTTTCTTTATCAACTTATTTCTTCAATAATTTGTGTTTTTATTCTTATTTGCTAGGAATATGCTAAAATTTACTAACAGAGCACAAAATAAATAAGCATCAATATGTGACTCATAGTTGCATTTCACCGACACTTACCACATCCCAAATCAACCATGAAATTTATCGTTATTTTTCTTAGCGCGGTTTTTTTATACAGAATTTCTTTCTTAGTGCAGGTTGTGTTTTCTATTTTCAGGGCCCGCCATCACCGCACAGGGCCTAAATCAGTGGCTTCAAATTAGAGGATGATCTTATTAAAAATATTAATTTAAATATAGTAATATATAAAATTTGTGAATTTTATACCAGGATTGTGATATAGTTTAGCGGTAACAAGTATTTTTTTTGGTGAGATTTAAGACACTGGTTTGACTCCCATGCTCTATATTTTTGAATTAATTTTTAATTTCACAAAAAAAAAAACAAAATACAGTATTATGTTGGGTATTGAATTCCAGACATAGTTAGAGACGGCAAAACATATCTGATATATTGAGTATATCCATTTTGTCAATATTTTTCTGTGAAGTATGACAAAGTTTTAGAATTGCAGTTTTTAATATCTCAGTCTATCCCGTTTTTTGCGTAGACAAAAATTTATATAAAATTTAATATTTTTAAAACCTAAAAGATGTAAAGTCTTCTGACCTTCCCCGACCCGTCCACATCTTTTTGTACGGTGGAGTAAAGTTTTGGTTGGAGTAAAATTAATTATGTTCATTCTATTCTATTTTTTACAGACTTTTTGTGATATAGATCTAAACTGAACGAACATATTTGTTTGTCACCTCTTAATCGTGAAAATTAAAATATAAAATTTTATTGTACTAAATAAATATACTACTATTTGTATAAAACATTTTTAACATATTAAATAGAAGTGTATTATTGCATAAAATAAATTGTTATTTTTGCTCTTTCTTTTTATTACGGACCTATTATAAAATTAAAACATGGTCTCCTAAATGTTTGGGCCAATCCCATCTATTTTCTTGCAAATTATTCTGACTCTATGATTTGTTTATTTATGACAAATAATTTTTAGAGAATTGTTTATTGCATCTTAAGTATTGCTTTCTCGCTTTACCGAAATATCAAAACTATTTTTAAAATTAGAAAATACATCTCAGAAAGCATTTTATTCACACACAATTTATTTATTATTAAGTTACGCCTTAATTTTATGATTAAATTTAATTCGGATATAAATATTCGTGTATCTTATGGAAATGTCTTTTTGGACTCTAATGAATTAGGATTAAATTCAGAAATAAAACAAATGCAAAAATATAGATAAATTAACAACGATAATTGTTAGACATAGATAATTGTTAACATAAATTTAATAATACATTTTATCATTAATGTTCTGGACTGGGCCTGCCTTGGCCCAAAAGGCAGATAGAAGCCCAAATCCAGACAACTCCTCGAGGAATGTCCACAAACGGATCATCACCGAACGTGCCCGACCACAGACCGCAGCTGCTATGCCTGCCATTGCCCGCGACAAGCAGTGTCCCCGAGCAAGGGAACTCTAGCTCGAGTCCAACTCGAGCACCTCCCCGTAGGGCAGACTCTGTCCACCCTAACCGTTGTAGAATCCTCCCAGCTCCAGAAAGACCGCGTCTTCGTCCCTCCTTATTCTTCGCACAAGCATCACCAGGAAGGGGACCACGTGCGGGGCCCCACTACACACGTAGAACCTGGCAGTTCCTTTATTGGGCCAATTCTAGACGGTCCAATGAGGGGACCTTGGCCTAGACCTAGGGGCTATAAATACCCTCTGTTTCAAGAGGGTCAGGTATTCATCTATTACGCACCTATACATTTTTTGCCTGCTCATTCCGTCTCTCATTTTAGCATCGGAGTGTCTTGCAGGTAACCCCCCCCCCCCCCCCCATCTCACTCAAATTCAGTTCGAGCCAGCCGTGACGGTCCAAGTCTGATCCGGTAGGATCAGTGGCGCCGTCTGTGGGAATCTAGCTTCCCCGTCTCGTAAATTCTCGAAGACCAAAGCTAAAAATCACCTCCTACCGTCATGGCTGACCAAGTTCAGGATGACCAGAATGTCTGTGTCGTCGACGCCAACAACAACCTCGTGGATAAGAACGGAATCCCTGACAATGCCGGCAATCCCGGCCATAACACACTCCCCGGGGGCGCCATCCCCGGGCCCTCAGGCCACCGCGACGGAGCCACTGCCTCATCTTCTTCAGTCCCTCCTCCACTCGAAGAAGACAATGCGGCTCCTCTGAACTATCTAGCTGCCCAATTTCAGGAAGTCCCCGTTCCCGTCGGGGCAGATGCCACGACCAGAGCACTGTTCGCGGCAATTAATCAAACCAACTACCTCATCTTTACCCAGGGGGAAAGATTGAGGGCGCTAGAGGACGACAAAAGACCCCCGAGGAGGCACAGGAGGCCTCAGACCCCACCTCCTCGAGTAACAGAGGTACGTCTCCCGTCTCCCCGGCGGAGGCAATACAAGGATACCTCCCGAAGCCCGTCGCCCCGACCATCGGGGAGACGACCCCCCTTGGAGAGGCAACCCGTCATTGAGGCCGGAGTGCACAACCACGGCCCCTTACGGCAAGAAAGAAGACACCTCAGAGACAGGCACGGGAGGGAGGACCAACGAGTATCCCGCTCGAGGGGCATCCAGCACGACCAGGACCGTCGAGCCCAATAATATCTCAGGTCCCCGTCCCTATCCCCATAGCGAAGTGACGAGGACGACCCCCGCGGTCCCCTTTCATAAGCCATCATGGAGGCGCCCATTCCCCCGGGCATGGAGAAGCCTCTACATCTGAAAGAATACGACAGAGTCGCGGACCCAGTCGACCACATAGACGGGTTCGAGGCTACGCTGCATTACCATAATGTCAGGGGACCCATCAAATGCCGGTTGTTTCCTACGACCCTCAAAAAGGCAGCAATGGATTGGTATGAAGGTCTCGCCCCGGGATCGATCACCTCGTGGCGAAACCTAAAGAATCAGTTCATAAGTTCGTTCACCGCGTCTCGGCGACATCCAAAGACCGAGGCAGCACTCGAGGCCACCGTCCAGAGGCAAGACGAGACTTTGAGAGAATTCATCAATCGCTTCAATCGCGAAGCCATACAGGTCCCCTCCGCGGACCACATGAAAAGGTACTTGCTGGAGAGGGGGCTCCTCCCCGGCACAGAATTCAGAAAAGCGGTGGGCATCGAACCACCCCGAACGTTCGATGCTCTCCTCGAGAAGGCTCGGGCATATATGGATTACGAAGAAAGGGAAGCGGCCAACAGAGCCCGGGATCCCAGAACTCACGGATCCAGCAGTGTTGTACCCCAAAATTTTCCCTCTCATATTTCTCAAAACATGGCAAGGAAAATCTCCAAGTGGATCAAGATTGCTCAAGAGTGGGTTAGACAAGTCATCTCCTAAGGCAATCAACCTCAAATTAGGGTTTTGTGTTACATCAAGATCCTTGAATCCAAATGACCTCAAGTGCTCCCCAATGTCCTAATATTTTCTCAAGGTCATCCATGTCAAATTTCAAGCCTTGCAGAGGAAGTTTGCTCAGTCAATTGCTCAAGGGGTCCAAAAATCGACTATGCTAGGGCAAAAGTCAACTGTGACCCAAATATAGTCAAACTTCAAGATTTTTTTGTCAACATTCTCATTTTGAAGGATATTTCATCATTTTATCAAGGGTTGATCATGATTCATCAAGGGTTGATCAAGATTCATCAAGACCCAAAAGTTGCTAAATTAGGGTTTTGTAGGAAAAGTAAACTCAACTTTGACCAAGCATAACTTTCTCATACTTTATGAGAAATGACCCATCCAAAGCTCATTTTGAAGAGGATGCAATTTACTACAATCCATCTTCATACCCCAAGATCAGAAAATGCACTTACAAGAAGTTATAAATTTGGACATTATAGGTCATTTTTGAAAGTCAACAAAAGCATATTTTTTGCCAAAGCTAATAACTTGAGCATGGAATATAAAAATGAGATGAGACCAAAAGGATTGGTTATAGGATATCTCAATCTTTCTAAAAAGTCCAAGAACACTTCCAAAAGTTCAAAATTGAAGAAGTTATACATTGTTGAAGTTGGGTATTTTTGCAAAATTGCCAAAAGTCAACTATCCCCAAAACTTCAAATTTTGTCAAATTGGCCCATTCTTTTCCACTTTATTTGGGCTTGCCACATTCCACACGTGTCCTAGCTTCAGCCTTGTGTCCATTTATCAATTTTTCTATTTTATTTGATTTTTTATTGAATTATTTCATTTTAAATTAATTTAAATCAAATAAAATCTCAAAACTTGATTACATGTGATCTGTTTCTATTTTCAGGACCTAATCATCATCAATGTCATGATCAAATTCGTATCAATCATTCCATGTGCAAAAAGATTGGATTTTTGGCAAATTAAGCAAGTTTTCAATGGAGGATCAAATCCAATCTCAAGGCATTAATGTACAAGGATTCAAGACCAATTTGTTGACCTAATACATTGCAGCATACATATACAATCCAAGGCACACGAATTTGAGGCTGGAGGCTGCAAGAACACCAAGAATCAAACTTGAAAAAATTGCCAAAAAAGTGTGAAACTGAAATCATTCTTAGAGGC